GGGGGACATCTGTAATACTTTCAACTAGATAAATTTTAAAAAATAAATAAAAGGCCCTTGCCCTCTTTAACCTATTCCTCTATCCAAGTCCTATTTAATCTTTCTCTGTATGAGGTCTGATTCCCTTCATGAGGACGTCTTCAGCTGTCTGATCTGAAAAATAATTAGCTGTGTTTATCATACAAAGAGCTCTTAATCATACTTCACTTGTGTATCCCTTCATTCAGTTTTTGTTTGTATGAAAGTCTTGTTTATTCTCAGCTGAATTTTTTTTATTTATTTTCCATACTGCAAACCTCTCATTGTACCAGGTAATGTAGGCCATCAAAGAATGCTTATTGAATTGGTTGCCGAAATTTCATTTAAATTAAATTCAACATCCACAGAGTGATTATAAAAGACAAGTCACTGAGTCAGACATTGACCCCTCAGTAGAGGTGGGCTTGGGAAGTAAGTTGTATATATAAATAAGAAATAATCCTATTGTCATAGTACTACGAATTCAGAGAGTAAATTACTTATACAACTACAAATAGAGCCACTCAGACTGAGTTAAATATCAAAATAGAACTGTATACAAGGTATATGGGAACACAAAGAAGGACATAACTTAGAAGACAAAAAAAAGACTTCGCAAAGAAATGACATTTCCAATGATTTGTTTTATTTAATTATTGTTGACACTGTTACAGATGTCCCCCATCCTTCCCTTTGCCCCCCTCCACCCAGTCCCTGCCCCACCCCAGGCCTTCCCCACACTATTGTTTGTGTCCATGGGTTATGCCTATATGCATATATGTTCTTTGGCTAATATCTTTCTGTCCACCCTAACCCCCTCCCCTCTGAGATCTGTCATTCTGTTCTATGCATCCATGCCTCTGGACCTATTTTGTTCATAAGTTTATTTTGTTCATTAGATTCCACATATAAATAAGACCATGTGATATTTGTCTCTCACTAGCTGACTTATTTTTCTTAGCAAAATAATCCCCAAGTCCATCCATACTGTCACNTGGATCCTAGGTCGATGCTCAACCGCTGAGCCACGCCTGGCTGGGCAACAGTGTGTTTTTTAGATTCACTTATGCATCATGAGAGAACTTTTTAATTAGTCTTCCATATCCACGTTTTTCTATTATAGACATGCTCTTACGGACTGAAAATGTTTTTGGCTCTTCATTACTCTCCAAACCAAATCTTTGTCTTTTATCTTATTATTTCAAGGCCTCCATGGACTGGGCTTCTTTCACCTATGATTTTATTTTTTACCATTAATCTTTAAGAATCTATCTCCAAAAACATAGCCATCACTTCTCTATTCCTCAATGNTGGGCACTTGGGCTGTTTCCAGATCTTAGCTGCTGTAAATAACACT